ATCTTCAATGATGTTTTACTTTTATTGGCATTATACTCAGCTGTTGGCATTAATGTATTATCAACATTACTTTTATTGACAATATGGAACAGTCTGTTCTTGGCACTGTTATCCATTATTGTCTTTAAGATAATCATCGAATATAAATGGTAAAGTTCGCCTTCCATTACGATGTGCGTGACAATCCCTCATGCAACATCTTCGATCATGAGATGTACTGTGCATAAGGTGGAAATGTCTACTTTCATTTCTGTTAAACACCGTCGACTTTCAGCTTAATTACAAAAGCAAGTAACACTGTATTTATTCGAAGATATATGTTGAAAAAATTAAAGGGAAAAGTGTAGAAACCTTTTCACGTTACAGAAGGACCAAGCTGATGCGTTTTTCATGGGCATGAGTCGAACCCATTTACTTGGAAACTTTTATGATCCCTATCCAAGGAAACTCCTATTTGAACAAAAAGCCCTCCCCCTCCCTCCCACACACATTAAACCAAGATAAACAAGTAAATACACACTGATAAATATATACACAGATATAAATATGCATGAACGTTCTTAGTCCTCCATAAAAGGCTGGGTGCTGTCAATTACTACCTTCGCCCACCTCGCACCTGGCGTATTAATACATGACATCATTGAAAGTACGCAGCCAAAACCTGTCAGTCAATCCATCAAACTCTAAAGACGTGATGTCTATTTCTTGTCTTTCATTTACCATCTCAAGGTCGACCCATGTCTGTGCATGTTACTTCAGAGGAACAAAAAGCCTCAAGGAACGTGCGGAGCGAAGGAAGTCCTGAGGCGTAGGGCAGGGCGGGGTTTTAGGGCCAAAGGTATATAACGCAAGCAACGTCTGTCTGGCGATCATTCAGGCGAGAGATCTCCAAGCATCATGAACGCAAAGGTAGCTTGTTGCCAGTGACTGTACTCGAGCGAAACTTGTTATATAATTGATGTTGATGTCATGATGGTTAATCAATGTCGGTGGATTTTGGTCAATTAGACTTCTCAGTTTAGTTTATTGAATAATGGTTTGAACAGTATTTCCTGACGGTAAATTTCCGATTTGGGTCTCATTATTAATGGACACAGACGCAAATATATGTTTATATATAGATAGGTACATATGTATACACACACACACACACACACACACACACACACACACACACACATATATTACATATACATGGATACATTATGTATACATAGATACATT